GGATATAAAGGAGCTTAAATACAGTACTTGAGTAACTGTGCTTAGTTACATTCCAACACTGAAAAAAATGCGCGCACACACACACACACTTAAATCTTATTCACATCCTTGAATCTTCAGTGATAAATGTAGGGGCAGAGTGGCATGTCAGAGGGCTTTAAAGTGCATGCCAAGTGGCACACTCTTTTGGCTAATGGTGAACAGTTCACTTAAGAGAGACTTGTGAGAAAGATACTTTCTGATATAGATTCGTGCAGATACTGACCATTTTAAGTTGATTGTGTACCATAACGTGAGTGATCCACATTAAATACAGTTTCTTTGTCGATGTCCACAGCAATCCCTGACATCATGTTACGTGGATTACAACATTTAAATTGTTAGCCATGAGCTTTTTGCCTAGTAGAATATTGGCATATAAATATCAGATGGGACTTGTCAATATAGTATCAGGGCTGGAGCCAAGATTTACAGAGAGATAAAAACCACAGCAGAGGAGGCAGGCTTAGCACAGAGGCCACTTTAGGGGAAGTACTAGCAGACAGAGCACCTCAACCATCTACCTCCCCGCCTATCTATACATATATTCCTACTGTTTATACTGTTTATACAAGTGCCTCCTTACTGGTAAGGATCAATCCCACGTGGACTCTATGTCCAGCACCTCACCTCTCCTTTAAACCCCACTTTCCCATGGTCCGTGTTATGGTAATAAAAAGTTATGAAAGTTTAAATACTCACTTATACCTTACTTGGTTTGTAATCCTGAAGAGGAGGTTTTTGTTGAGATATGCACTCTTGTGCAGATTTGAACTGAGAACTTAGATAAGGACTCAGTCATTTATAGTTGAACTGTGGGGTTTTGAATTGAGCACTGACTGTATATTACGCTGTGGTGAACTTCAAGTTCTGCTGCTTTGTGTTTCTTGCTGTCGGTACATTGTGAAATACCGAGTTGTTAGTGATTGTTTAGTAAAGTGGAGTGATTGTCATGTACTAAAAGACAGGGGTCATTTGTGAATGTAATGTTTTTTTGTGTAAATGTATTGAACATTGAATGACAACACTATTTACATCAAATGCTGCCTAAATTAGCTGAATGTTAGTCCTTCATGTAGCACAACATTTCAAAAGTAGCAGATAATATAATACTTGATGCTTGAAGAATACTTGAAAAAAAGTTCATTTTAGAACCTGATTGTAAATCCAATAGCATTTCACAGATGCTGCATTTTTTGTTTCTTTACTGTAATTTATCATTTATGTCACATTACCTCCAGGGTGTGGACAACTATACACCTACAATGTCATATAATGCAATGCACTTTCTCTGCAATAAAACTTCCATAATTAAGTTCATATGGCTCAGTTTTTGTTGTTAGATAATTTAAGGATAATAAGGTAATGCATTACTTGTTCCGTATTGTATTACATCGTAATTTACTTTACATTGTTTACCATCTTTAGCTAGAACACACGCAGGTCTATGAGGAACACAAACTGAATGCACACAGATTTACTTTAAACTGTCTTTGTGTTACATGGTAAATGAGAATAAAAACTTTTCTGCATTTCTTTAACAACTAGTTAATGAGAAAAAAAGAGCACAAGAGATGGTAGTTGCACATTTATTCAGGTCATTATTTGTGCTTGTGATAGAAATTAGATTTGTCATTGAAAAATAATATGTATAATGTAATAGTGTAACACAGATTTTTTTTTTTTTGCTTTAGGCAATGCATTTAGTTTTACTCTCTATTTCCTGAGGTGACATATTATCCACTAAATGTTGAAATATATTTAATTTAAAACGTAATGGTTAAATCTTTGTACCTGTCAAGTTCAATTTGGGCACTACTCTATAAATATGCATCCCATCTGAATACATGTCTGGAGAGAACAAAGGTTTGGGGGTTAATTTTCAATTTAGTGAATTTCTACACATTATATTTCTGCATCCCACTTGTTTATAGCTGCGTGCACAGAAATAGTTCTTTAGTTTAAGTTGTTTTGTAGATTTTTTCCTGAAATAAATAGAAGCATATTTTCAAATAATTTGATAACATATCAGTTAATGCGAATAGAGGTACAGCAGCAATTTATGTTTGAATTAATATACAGTGTTTGTTGTTGCAAAACTGACCTTACAACACGGAACATATATGATTATATTAGTTCTTCTTATCTAATAGTTATAACCTCATCCCCATTTAATCAATGTCACCTTTTCTCAAATCAGAACAACACATGCAGTTAACAAAATAAAATTGCCCGCATTTTATTGAGAGTGAAGATAAAGCAATGTAGGATTGGAGCTGCAGTATGAATCTTCCTCTAAATGTAATTTGTTTCTTGTATAACACCAGATAACCTCTCGGTCAGGTCAAAAAGTCAGCTGTTGGTTCATTATCAGCACAGCTTCTAAAGGCTGCGTCTGTCACATGGTCGTACTTTCACATTTTCCTCATGTGCTGTTTCCCTTGCCATGTACTAGCTCTGCTGTCATTTCTGATCCTGCCACTCCTACCTGCCCAGCAGTAACCCCAGTGCTTCATTCATTCCCCATCACCTGACCCCCCCACCACCACGCATCAGCCAGTAGCATACATGTTGGCCCACTTCCATTCATTCCCCGCCAGATCGTCTATTGTGCTTCTGCTGTAGGGGTCCAGCCATTTTCTCTGCCTGCCTGAGTTTTGCCTGTTATGACCCCCTGCCTGCCTTTTGGACACCCGCTTGCTTACTCTTATCTGCTATTGGATAAGTTTGCCTCTTCTTCACTGCCTTCACAGTTTTGACGGTTGCCTGTTTTCGACCTTTAGTAAACTTTTACTTACGGTCCTGGTCTTAGAGTTGTGCTTTTGTGTTCAAACCTGTTTTTACTGAGCCTTTACATCGTCTCCCTCTGTGACATTAGAGAGGCATTAGAGAGAAAATCTCTTCGAATGTTGCAGACAATCCACTGGCTGTGTACAATGTGACCCTGATAAAAACAACAGAGCTCACCTCTGTCATCCGTTCATGAAAGAGGATGCAGTATTTGCAGAGAAGGTGATAAAGCACAAACCTCCTACTTGTCAAGGTTAATTCCCCACTTTCCGGAGCAACAGTTGGTTAATGAACTTTGTTGAGTCACAGGAAGAACAACTGTGTTCCAGACATTCCTCTATATTTATAAGACTACAAAATAGCCAGATAGATAGATAGGAAAGGAATAACAGTGTCAGTGCTTGAAGCATAATACAAGATTATAATGTACTTGCATAAATAATCCTTTAAAATGCATAAAAGAAAACTAATAATTGTTATGATGAAACCATGAGATAAGGGTGACTTTTACATGATTAAAATAGACATTTGCACTATTTTCCTCTATGGAAGGCTGAAACTGACTGCTTCCATAATTGAGTAGATTGATGGTAGCAGCATTGCAGAATGTGAGCATGGGATGGCAACACTGGGGTTGATTAGAAATTGAAGTGTGAAACAGTGAAAGGCAAAAAAATAAAGACAAGGATTGATAGAATGGCCGATGCAGCCCACCAGTGTGGTTGGTTGGTTTGTCTTGATCGCTGTGGAGCTAAATGATGGAAAAAAGTGAAATTAAAAGCACATGATGAAAGACTTCTTGGGCCATCAAAGGAGGAAAAAAAACGTTGTGTCAACATGACTCCTGATTTATTGATTTTCCGGCTCAATTTTTTCATCCAGGGTGCTTCGAAAGAGCAAAGCAATCTCTGAGTTTGGTGGCTGGTGTTATATTCCCTCAGCAAATGGACACTCAACACAAATACACACACACACACACACACACACACACACACACACAAACACACACACAAACACACTGGGGTACAACCCCGTGCACAAACACATGGAGCTCCCAATAGGGCGGAGTTTTTAATCCTCAAATACACTGCCATAAATCAAAGCCCTTTCCCTCATGCCCCAGCTTCTCTCTCTCAATGAAAAGCTGATGCCAGTGGCACATTAATAGCAATTTACAGGGAGAGGAGCATCAACAGAGCGTCCTTTATTTTGTAATTCCCTATTACTTTAACTCACTACACGGCTAGCGAATTGGTAATGATAGAATATATGACTTACCTACTGCATTTCTTTCTTCATCCCTTATCTGAATCATGGGTATAAGGATTGTGGGTGTTGTATGCTGTGCAGATTATGAAGCTTATTGAGGCAGATTTGTGATATTGGGCTCTATAAATAAAATTGACCAACACTGACACTTGCATTACTACTGTATAATGAATAACATTAGCTTAAACAGTTCAAGTAGTTAGCTAAAAGTAATGCATGACATGAATAATAAACAGTTTAAATAGTTACTACAAGAGCTAAAGCAGTGGAAAAAATGTTGGAATAGTTAGCTTAAAGCAGTGCACAATGGTTGTGTTATGGTTGTGAAAAATATTGTAATATCCACTTTTATATCATTAATAGCAATAGCAATGATTCACTTCACTTCACTTTATAATCCATTCATTCCATTGATTAACATACTTAGAGTGGTGCAGATGAAGGAGTACTTGAGCTTATTTGATAGGGCTGTGGGGGTACATCAGACAAAAAAGGTTGGGAACCACTGACGGAAACAACCACGTCATGTCATATTACAAAACCAAACTGAAATACAAACACTGTAGTGTTCTTTGCAAGTTCTTAGCACAAATAAACAAACATTATAGAGATTCTGAAAAGGGAAGGATTCCATCTCAAGGATTCATGACACACATTTCCCTCCAACCCGATCCCACAGACGGGATAAGGTAGCGTAGTGTTCCAAAGCACAGCTCAAAGCTACACACTCACAAGATTAAACTCACCTGTTATAATAAAACAAAAATATATTGTATATCAGACCTCAGAATACAGGACAGTAATACAGCATATGATTTATTTTAGCACTGATCAGATGTGTTAGTGTTTACATGAAAGCTTTTTAGCCTGTGGAGTTACTCATGTGATCTGCTGTTTTTCAGGTGGAATGGCTAAAAAATGAAGAGCCTCTCAGCTCCGAGGGTGTCATTGATACAAGAGGCGACCATAATCTCATCATCTCAGAAGCTCGCCTCTCTGATTCCGGAAACTATACCTGCATTGCCAGCAATATTGTGGCCAAGAGACGCAGTGCAACAGCCACTGTTGTAGTCTATGGTAAGATATCAAATTCCAGAATTTTTCTTATTCTTCCAAAGACAATGTGTGCAACGTTAGATTGTCTCAGCCAAAAAGGCATGACGATAGAAATCTTCAGGTTTTCTGCAAAGATGAGCAAAACAATGTCAAACAGATTTCTCATCTGCATCAAAATATCAATTTTCACTACAGAAGCAGGCTGTCAAATTGGCAGTATAAGCAAATTCCCCAAAGTCATTAATACAAAAAGCACTACTCAACCACAGCATGTTTTCACACAAGAGTCTAATGAGTAGGTAATGGGCAAGTGATCCCTCATGTGTAAAAACAAGGAGACACGGGCACAGTATTTACAAGAACTCAATTATTAATGGTGGAAAGGCAGTGACGTGGGCTGTCACAACTCCAGGGCTTTTATCTGTCAACATTTAACACCTTGTGCGAAACGCTTTGTATAGCTGCAGGCCAGCAGGCACTGTTTTCAGCATTTTTTATCGCCCCATAGAGAGCTCTGCAGAGACTAAGGAGAAGAAGTGAAATTATTATGTCATATTAATACCATCCTCCTTTCACAGCAGTGAAACACCTTGTTAATTGGAGTGTTTCAGTGATCATTTTACCGACCTTTCATCCTGTTAATTTTAGATTTTTCAGGGAGGACATTTACCTGCTGTAGGAATACGGCACTCCATTGTTGAGGCCCATCAATCATTCATTTCCCTAATGCTAATGAAGTCTCTGACAGGCTAACTACCACCTATAGCCTCAGACAGATGTACAAAAGTGGGACAAAGTATTGTGTCCTGTGCTATGACAGCAAATGAGCCTATTAGTCAGTCATTCTGCATTATTTTAGGAAACAAATCAGAGGAAGAAATGTTAAGTATATGGAAGAGAAGTCACTTTTGAGTTAACAAAAACTATCCGGTCACGGTGGTGCAGTTTTTCTTGCCAGAAAATATATTGTTAACCACAAAATTTAGGCCAGTTTTCCAGTTTTCATTCTCATAGTATTTTTTCATCCCTTTCCCTTCACTCTTTGGCACATGCAGTGAATGGAGGCTGGTCATCGTGGACAGACTGGTCACCCTGTAATGTACGCTGTGGCCGCGGTGTGCAGAAACGTTCACGCACTTGCACAAATCCAGCTCCTCTCAATGGGGGAGCCTTCTGTGAGGGCATGTCTGTACAGAAGAGCACCTGCAACACACTGTGCCCAGGTAAGCACAGGGACCTAGTCCGCATGCTGTTAGGGTTTGTGCATGTTAAAAGCGTTTTTGAAAATGCCACCACACAGGTTCCAGTTAATAGTTTGGTTCAAGTCATGAATATCTTAAAATTGACTTCAATGGTGCATTCAAGGAAGCTCTGAGATTTGAGCTTATGGAACTATTTTGTGAAATTGTTTATTTCTTGCATTAGAGAATCAAATTCAAGTCACTAATGCTTGCAAACAGAGTGACTGCTGGGTCTGCATTCATCTACCTAAACTCCATAATACAAGCCTACGTTCCTTCTCGGCTACTGCGCTCCTCCAACGAACGCCGGCTGGCTCTCCCATCCCTACACACAAAGCAATCTCAGTCCTGGCTGTTCTCATCTGTGACACCATGATGGTGGAACGAGCTACCACATGCCATGAGACCAGGGGCGTCTCTCTCTAACTTCAAGAAACTCTTGAAAACTCATTTCTTCCCAGAACACTTTCATTAACTTATTGGGAGAAAACTGGCAGTTCTGTGTAAAATCAGACGTTGGGCACCCCCATATCGCCAAAATAGCATGATCCTGGTTTCGCTGCGAAGCTTCGACTGTGATATTGACAGTGAGATCGACTGTGCGATTGACTGTGAGATGGACAGAGCGGCTCTGTCCAAAGGTAACAAAATCAACTTACCAGCACTAAAGCTTACTAAATAACTGGACTCGTAGTCCACTTTTGTATTTGAACAGATTTAACAAAGAGGATGTAACATGTTAATTAGTGAGCTTTAGAGGTGCTGGTAGGAAAAGCCAGGAAAGCAAATACGTGCGTTTCCCAAAATGTTGAACTATTCCTTTAAAAAGACTGCTGTTTGCCAGCCAACTCTAGGAATTTTCAATGTCAGCACGTCCTTGAATGCATCAGTGTGGAGAGGTTTCTCTCTGCTCACAAATGCATTACTGCACAATAATAAAGTAAATGTGACATAGAGTGAAAATGGTCTCCATGATTGATTACTCATGAGAGTAAAGTCTCTGTAAGTTAAGTTTAATACCTGAAATTAACGGAGAACTGTGTCAGCTTTGAAGTTTAATCTAAAAGCCTGAGGTGTGCTTTGTAGTTAGCAGTAGTCTTCTTTCAACCAGTTACATTTCACCGTGAATGCAGTGCACGTCTCCACTGCTGATAGTGACAGTGGTTTGTATCTGAAATCTAATGCAGTGGACCTTAAAAAAACAGCAAATGAGGAGAACATTTATGGGAAATGGAGAGATGGGTGAAAAAAACGGGATAAAGAGAAACTGAGTGAGAGAAACAAACAGCAGAAGCTTAGGTTGTGAGAGGAAGAGCAGAGCAGCAGTTCCAGTTATCAAAACGTCCATGTAATCTGCTCTGCCCAAGTGTTTTTTCTAGACAAGCCCAAATTTATGATTTCAACCACAGCACCAGTATAAAGGAAAATGCTCATCAGGTTTAAGAAGAAAAAATTATCAGGGGAAGGCAGTGCACTGCTCCAAACATTATCTCCTCTTTGCCAACTGCCTCCTTCTGAAGGATTCTTTCTTCTGCATCTGAGTTTGAACATAAACAGGGTGCATTTGCGTTTAGATTAGCAGGAAGAAGGGAACTTTTAGAGCATTTTGAGGTGGAGACTTGATGAAGTGTGGCATAAGCAATGTGACTTTGTGCTCCAAGTCAGCAAGACAGCACAACATTTTTGGCACACTGAGGAGGAAAATGTTTTTATAAAGATAGTATTGCCGCCCAGAAGTCCCAGAGAACTATTAAATAAATTAACTTAGGCTTCGTGTTTCAATCTTTCACAAGAAAAGTGAGGATATTTGTCATCTCTTATTTTTCTATATCTTTATTCCTTTGTACTTTGCTTGTATGTGTGTTTTTGTTCACACATGTATGTAGTCCAAAGTGAATGAAGGGATGATTGTGTACTCCAACCATGCATTATGCACATCAGATTTGTGTATGTGTATCCTTGTGCTCTTAAACATTTGTTTTTGTATGTGATTCTCTCAGTGGATGGCAGCTGGGGAGAGTGGAGCGAGTGGTCGGTGTGTAGTTCAGACTGTGAGAGGCAGCGCAGCAGAGAGTGTACAGCTCCGGAGCCCAAACATGGAGGACGGCTGTGTGACGGTGTGGCGCTGGCTACAGACAACTGCACTGGCAGCCTCTGCACACAGAGTGGGTAACATCAACATTTCTCTCCACTGGTATCACTGAGAAAACGATAGTTTAGCATCATCACTGTCAGACCCATTGTGTTCAGGGACTGTATCATTATAGATTTACTGTTCATAATCTTTTGGCAGTGTGGGTAAGATCATGATCATCATTATAATCATGCTCATTACCAGCACCCTGATCCATCTTCATTATTCATCCACTGCACGCCACATACATAACACACAGTGTGCCCAGCCATGGATGCAGACACAAGTAGTAATTAAATAAACAAACACTTGTAGTATTCAAAAAAGGTTAAAGAGAAACTCTTTAATTCTGATGTTTCTCTGTCTTTGCAGATCGAAAGTTGCTACATGATGCTAAACCACAGGGTGAGTTTATCCTCAGCTTCCATTAGTTACTGTTATGTTATTTTAAATTAGAGCCTGACCGATATTGGATTTTTAAGACCGATACTGATTTTGATATTTGAGGATTTAAAATTTGATATTCCGATACATCAGCCAAAAAATGTTTTTCTTCTTTTCAGAAACACAACATAAACAAAGATTATCCCCAACATTTGTTCTGTGTAGTTAGACCTCACCGAGATAACATGACATAATGCAGTTTAAAAGTAAACGTTCTTCTTATCGTTATAAATAGTACAGCTGTATAGTACTGGATTTGTGTGTTTCCAACAGGGATGTTGCAGAGCACCCTCTGGTGGACAAACTATGCAATGACATCACTCGTGACATGATTGAAGGATCTGTCATCCGTCTCTTCGTTTCTTTATAATTGTATCGGCTGTTACACCGATACCAATTTATCTGCATTAGCTCATATCGGCCGATAATATCTGCACGCCAATTTCGGTCGGGCTCAATTTTAAAAATGTCACTTTCTACAACGTTAACCTAGAAGAATACTTAATTCTGATTGGAGAAAGTTGTGCAATAATTCTGTTCATACAATAATACATTTATGTTGTATGTTTTTATTGAGGACCATCAGCAGCAGCCATTTGATTAATTCAGCAGGGTGAAAGTATAGTCATCAAGTCAGCAATGGTAAAAGAGGGGTAGATCACTCTGACCAGTGTGGTTATGAAAACTAACTCTGCATGAATTCTCTCAAACTTAAAAGAGTGCGGTCAGATGAGAGTAATTTCAGATTGATATGTTCTGACAGACAGGTAGCATACAATATGTATGAATAATAGGTTTTAAAAATGTAATTTTTCTTTTAATTGCATGCAGAAAGAAATCTGGTTGTAATTTATGTGTGATAGACATCTCTGGTGGTTGATCTCTAACAGCAGCTGAAATGCTTAGGCAGAAGGTTGTGATGGTTGGTTAGTGTTTTCTTCACCCTTGGCATCCATTTTCATTATTGTACAAAAACATACAGTATGTTGAGTCATGTCACTTGTTTAACGTCTTCAACAGTAATTTATCGTGGAAATTGTATATTGCTGGTGAGGGATTGAGCAAATAATTGACTTACAACAAACCGTTGTCTTTGAAGAATTATTATTAATAAAAGAGAATAACAGAGAAGTACTACAACACAAAATCAGCTGGTCCAGAGACCTAGCCTAGGGCAGCTTCGGGCGTTTGGCCCTCAGCTAAAGGATGCATAATCATTTAGACAGTCTTGGTTTCTATGTTTTGGGGAACAGAGATCCTCTCCCGGCCTTGAATGAACAATCAAGGAGAGGAGAGGAACAGCAAGAAAGGAAAACATTAAACAATCTCACAGCTCTGACCTAAACCCTACATCTGTGGACAGACTAATATAATGAGCATAATAATAAGAAAATGTTAATAATGAGTATAATAATAAGATAATGAGTATAATAATAAGAAAAGGTTAAGGATAAAAAAAACAATATGTATCTATAAGACATAAACAATAATAATAATAATAGTAATAATAGAAGAACATGCTTAAAAGATTAGATATAGGGAGAATCAATTTTCCGGCCTTATAATTCAAATATAATATAATTTTGTCCTGTGTTGTTAAAATAAACATTGTGTAGATAAACTGTATTGTGGAGCTACAGTAGTTTCAATAGTAGTTATGCACAATGATCAATTCTATCATCTGAATCAACTGTTTCCAACTTTACCAGTATTACCTCAGTTTTACTTCTGTTCCAATACACTGTAAATTTTCACTGATACTATATTTTTGAATAGATCAGGTATAGCTTTTTAAGCCAAGCAGCCAGTGGTTTACAACTGTATATTCATTGCTTTGTGCATTATTGCTGTCTTGGGTAATGGGCCATTTATGTGTTGATTAATGCTGAGTTTGCGCAGTGAAAAAAAAAAAAAAACATGATTCTGTACCTACTAAGCCACAAGCACATGTTCTCCTTACTTTTCTTTTACAGTTAGCCTTTGTATTTGTTGTTTGTCAGAAATGGGGAAAAGAATACAGCCAGACGCCAGACTGCCAAAACTTCCCAAGCCCTCAATTAACCTGCTACAGTAG